TTTTCTTTTCTTTTCTTTTCTTTTCTTTTCTTTTCTTTTCTTTTCTTTTCTTTTCTGCCATTCGTTAGTAGATTTACTGGAATGTTTAGGGCAGGTTTCTAATTTTTTTGCCATCACACCTCCCTGTAAGATTTAGTGTAATCTTAACATGCGCACCTCCCCTAAAAATCCAAACACCAAAATGAACACAAATGAACAATGAAAACAATATAATGAAACTTTGGAAAAGGTGGATTTATAGTAACAATGTAACTAAAAGGTTCCTCACACCTCCCCTGGATTCTTATCTACCCCTCCCCAAGGGAGGCACCTCACAGTTTGGGAAAGCCTGGTTTAGAGTCATTGTCATGTAGCAAAGTCCACTTTTGGTTGTGCTTCAGTCTTCTGACAGATGGTCTCACATTCTCAAGGATCCTCCAGTACAATGAAGAGTTTATAGTGGATTCTGTGATGATGAGCTGCCCAGGCCCTGATGCAGCAAAGCAACCCCAAGTCATAACAGTTCTATCATCATGTTTTGCAGTTGGTATCAGGTTCTTTTGGTGAAATGCTGTCTTTGGTTTTCACCAAACATGTCTTCTGGTATTATGGCCAAATAGCTATATCTTTGCTTGTCTGTCCAGAGCACATTGTTTCAGAAGTCCTAGTCTTTGCCTAGGTGTTCATGAGCAAACTTTAGTCTTGCCCTTATGTTCTTTCTGAACAGCAAAGACTTCCTCCTGGCACACCTCCCATTCAAATCTAACTTGTACAGCTTATTTCTGATGGTAGACTCGTGCACTTTGACATCAGTAGTGGCGAGAGCTACCTGTAGGTCATATAATGAAATTCTGGGGTTCTGAGAGACTTCTTTCAGCATCTTGCATTCTCCCCTTGGGCTGAATTTGCTGGGATGGCCTCGCCTGGGCAAGTTGGCAGTTCTTTGAAATCTCCACTTATAGATGATCTTTCAGACAGTGGAATGATTGATGTCCAGTTGTTTGGGGATCTTTTTAAATCCCTTCCCAGACTTATAGGCATCTACAGACAGCCCTCTGCTTATGAACTTTCAAGTTACAAACTTTGCCGATATGAACAAAGCTGTTCAGAACTCCAATTCCAAAAAGAGGAGGAGGCAGGGCAGTGATGTGTGCAGAGGAGCTCTGTCTTCTGCTGCCAATGCGAGGAGCGATAGCCAGTGGATTGTGGAGAACACAGTGGGATGAGCTGGTGGGGCGCAGCGTGCTCTGTTGCTGGGCGAGGCAGGAGAGGTGGTGGCGGCTCCCAGGGTGAATGTGGCAGCTGTACAGGAGGTGCTGTTCAGGATAGCAAGGGCTTCCTGGAAGCACAGCATGCGCTCTGCAGCTTGCCTTGGAAACTGTTGGCCCTTTGCAAGGTGCTGCCAATGTGCAGTGGGTGTTCCCTAACCCTAACTTGTTGCACATTGGGAGGCTGTGATCTTCAGCCTTCCTCCTGCAAGGCCTTGCAAAGGGTCAGCACTTTCCAGTGTGAGCTGCAGCCTCCAGTTCCACTGTCACCCTGAACAGCGCCTCTTGCACAGCCGCCATCTTTGCCCTGGGAGCCACTGCTGCCTCTCCTGCCTCGCCCAGTGACAGAGCGCCACACCCCACTGGCTTATCCCACTGCGCTCTCCACTGTCTGTGGGCTATTGCTCCCCACATTGGCAGCAGAAGACAGTGCTCCTCTGCCCATACTGCTGTCCTGCCTCCTGTTTTTTTTTACTTGGTTGGATTTACGAACAAAACGGACTTACGACAGCCTCTTGGAATGTAACCTGTTTGTAAGTAGAGGACTGTCTGTATAACCTTATTTCTGAATATCGCATAGAGCTCTCTTGATCTAGGTATAGTGATACCACACACTTCAAGGACAAAGCAAATCAAACTAAATGTCTGAAGTTTAAATTAGACAGGTTCCTCCCAGATCCTCTTTAACAATGTTGAAATCCTTTACACCTGATCTGATGCACCTGATTCTGATTTTCGTTATTGGAGGTAGTGAAAAATGTAGGGGTGTACTTGCTTTTTCCACATGCAGAATTTGCATTTATGTTT